AAGCATAAATGACAATCAACAATACAAAACCTAACAGTATGCAGTATTTCCATAATATTGGCTATTACTCAGGTGGTAGAGTGTGTCGTATAATGATAATAATAATGATCATAAGGTCAGGGTCTTGATTCCCAGTTTCAATAGTCAGTGTTTGAAGTATCGTTGGGCCAGACACTGAACCCCAGGATCTACAATGTGAATTTTAGATAATAGTGCTTGGGTGTAGAAAAAGTAATTGCGTTTGGGTGAATGTAGTACAAAGTGCTCTGAGTGCTCAAAATTGATTAGAAAGGTGCTATATAAATCCATATATCATATAAAGCTAACTTAGCTGTCTCTCTGCATTCCCTCATTTCATCCTCTTCCTCTGGACTTCTGCAACCAGCCCAACTTGTGGTCTTTACTACCTCAGTCACATTAAGTTGGTGCCCAGTTGTGCAAAAACAACAAGAGAGTGTCAACACCTAGTAAATGAGCTTCAGTTAGCATCAATAGTTGACTCAACATATAGATTATTTTCTTACGTTTTTTGAAAAAAAAAAAATGGTAACAAAAAACAGCAGTGAAACAGCTTTGCTAGAAAGTGAAGAATGCCAATTTTACGGGAATTTCTCGAGATAACTGAGATATGAGGCAAACCTGCTAGAGTGCTAAACATGAAATATATACACTACTTCACAACCAGCTAGAATTTGAGTGATGAGACACTATTTTCAATGAGCAAACTGAATTTATGGACAGCACTCCCACAAAGTAAAAATAGCTATTATAAAAAAGTTTAAGTGTAATTACTCCAATAAATATCTCACTGAAATTGATCAAGATACAGACATCCTAATGTTGATCAGGAAGATCAATGATAGCGCTATAAAAGCAGCTTTGGAGTCAGTTGTTGGTGTTCACTAAAGACAGCTAATTCAGTTTAAGAATTCACTGAACAGACACTGGCAACACATTAACAGGCATTACTCCCTTCTTCCTTTGCCCGTCTGAGATGTGTTCCAGTCGGCACACGTTTTGCTACTTCTGAGGCCCACAAGTGTAATTACACTCTGACTAATCCCCTAGTTTGCTGGAACCTCTTTCATGCAAGTGTGAAGGGTTTAGTGAGGCAAACCGTCCCGCACACCTCCCCTCCTGATACCAACTCCCCACTGCACACTGCACTCCATAGTGATGTGTGTACCTCTGAAAAATCCCATCAGGATTAGAGAACCCACTCTCCCCTTTTCTCTTCCTCTCTCTAGCTAATCTAATCCTCCTACCTTTCCTGCCGGATGTCTCCTGATCGAGGGAAATAGATAAAAAGTGTCTGTGTGATTCCTTGGCTGTGAAAATCACAGCACTTGCCTGGTGTTCTCCCCACCGTGCGACACATTCACATTCACATTCACATTCTCTCCCTCATTCCTGGAATTGAAGCTGAACAAAGAGACATGCTTTTAATTTCAAAATGACTAGCCGCAGGCAAGCTTTTCTTGTACAGAGTGCTCCAATTTGTTTTGCGAACGGCACATTGACATGGCATGTTTGTGTTTGGATAGATGCAAAACATAGACGTGAGAGCGCATCCAGAAAATGATAGATGGGAGCAAGAATACACAAACAAATCGCTGTCAAATAAAGCAACAGCACTCAGAGTAATGACTCTTCTGGTAATAGATCAGGTATTATACTAATGCTTACCAACATGGCAGTTTAATGCCTCTGCTATTAATAGCTGTACCATCAACATCTGCATTAGTAAAGTTTTAGCAAAGTATTACAGGGTTTATTTCACTGAGTAGTCTGTTCAGGTTTTCAGTTTTTATTCAGCCGTTTGGAACATAATAAGACAGATACAGGAAAAGAAACTGGTCTGATTTAAAATGCTGGGTAATTTTGGTGTATAATTGGAAACACAAGGACTTAAGTGTTTACGCAGCAAGATTATGTTATTTGCTCTTGAAACTACTGATCATATATCACAAACATCAAGCAAAGCCTATACTGTAGGATGCTTCTTTGCTTGTTAACGCTGTTTTAGAGAAGACGGGTTGAAGTGCTTCTAGATCCTGGTACAGTCTTTAAAATGTAGGTCTGCAACCTGAGGTGTTCCTCAAGGAGCAGTCCTCGGTCCCCTTATGTTTATAATGTGTTATCCAAATGCAATGACCACATTAACAATAAATCTCTCAAAATTTCTAAAGATTTTTAAAATCCTGGGTGTCTTATCTCACCTTAAACCTTATTATCGTGCAAAAGTGATAATAAAATCAGCATTGTTTCATCTTATAAACACAGCCAAAGAAACTTGAAAACTAAGTTTTAGAAAAACCTACATCACCCCAGCTCCTAAATCTTTACACTCACTGCCAGTAAGCTGTAGGATTTAAAGTTTTGTAGCATTTCTTTACATGGAGCTGGCCCTAAATATATTTTTGATAGGTCTGAGCAACACAAGCCTACTACACACCTTACATCATTCAGTACTGAACTGGTAGTGGTTGTAAAATCAAAGCAAGGTGAAGTAACTTTTAGTCCAGTCCACACACACATACATAAAACCAGGCTTGGCTTGAGGTATGCACACATTACTTCCTGCAAGTATTCTGCAATTTGGCTCAAATTACGTTATACTTTTTAACATTCTAGCAACATGCACTCTTTCAGTTTGTGGCCAGATTTTATACTGGTTCATCTGCATGTTCACAGGACAGGCTGAATCTTCTCCTATCAATATTTCTCGTCGCTGTCATTCAGGGAACTGGTGCACCTTGTGCTTTCTCAGTTTTCACAGTGATCTACAACCAATGCCTTCGCCTGGCAATAACACATAAGGGGCACCGATACATCTAGCCCACTCTGAGAGGAAAACAAGATATCACTGCCAAAGGGCTGAGTGATGGCTCTATTAAACACCCTCTTTTTCTTTTCCTCTCCCTGCCTCTCTATCAGCATCACAAGCAAACAAACCTTTGTACCATAAACACAAACAGTCTGCTAATATAACATTAGCTCTAAGGCATCTTTAAAGGACACCTGTTAATGTTTCAATTTAACACACCATCTCCTCATATGCAAAATTACAAGCAATGTGTGGTCTCTTTTGTCAGTTCAATATATTCCTCGCTTTTGCTATCTAAAGAAAATGAGGGGGAGAAGCCGCTCACTGACTGGACTAATTCGGTAAATCTTTTGGGTGGTAGACTGTTTCCCAAAGAGAAAGATGACAGCTGTGATTCAGAAAGACAAGCTGATGTTTGCCAAATTCTCCTCTACATTCAGCACACTCAAATGTCCCATCGCTCTCCTGTATCCATGTCAAACACCAGCTGAAGCTATGGAAAACTGACATCTTGACACACAAACTGCTGAAGATCATGTAGGTACTCTGACTGTGCCAGCACAAACACAGGGCTCCAACAACATGTCCTCTTCCTGCTGTTTCTTGTTTTATGCCTATCAAATTCTTGGCACCTGATCAAGATGCCTCTAGGACAGCTCCCTTTGAAAGGTTTTCTGGGTGAGCCAAACTGGGAAAGACCCCAGAGCTCACTGGAGAGCTTTTGTATCTTGTCTGGCCTGTCAATGCCTTGGGATCCCACAGGAGGAGCTGTAACATGTTGCTGGGAAAAAGGACATCTGAAATACCTTCCATAGCCTGCTGCCACGGTGACCTGACTTCGATAAATTGATGAAAATGGATGGATGGAAATTTATCAAATTCAGACATTATATGGACTTCCACCCCAACCTTAGAGTTCAGACTACAGATCATGACCCAGATGTTACGTGTGCACTTCTTCTGCTGTTTTGCATGCCAGTAGCCTCTTGTGTCTCTATGCCAAACCTTTAAACTTCTTCTCGCCCTACAGTTACCTTGATATCCCCACCATCTGCATCACTTGACCTTCCAGCCTCCCTTCACATCTGGTGCTCATTCCTTTATCATCAGTTTAAACATATCAGTTTTTTTTTCCAGATAGT